TCTCCTCTTGACCAACTGCATACGTCCATACATGTTTACGTGGGCTTCCATGAGTAATAGACACTCCATCAACATAGGCGCCATTAATGTGTGATGATCCATAATGATTATCATAAATACCATCAATCGTTCCATACTGGTATCCCCTAACCTGCCCACATACTTTAGTGTAACGTAAGCCACTAGTAGAAAAGAAGGTTCCACTACAGCCATTACCAGTTTCATTATGATTCCTATCACAGAGCGTTTTGTTATCTAAATTATATTGATAGAGTCCTTCTGGGCAGGTAGCATTAGGCTCTGTCATGTTGATATAAGCCACTCTAGTCCAGCCACCAGTACCATCACAGTTGCTACCCTCCATATCACAGTACACTTTGACAATGGTCCCATTGCTTTGGTTATAATGTTATAATAGCCAGAGACAGCATTGGGGTTATTCTCTAATGTTTCCTTGCAAGACTGATATACTCTTACAGTCTCACAAATTGGATCAGACAGACCATCGACTGGACAGAAGAACATTATTAGAAGATCGTTGTCTCTCTTCTTGATTTTTTTCCCATTGTTAGCAGGTAAGCAGCAGTACTGATGATAGAGTGAAGGTTCATTACTAGTAGTACATGAAGAACAACCATCAGTCATGCAAGCTGATGAGGTATCAGCAACAAGTAGTACTTGGAATACAACAACCAAGATATACATGTAGAAAAAACTTGAGCAGTAGAAGTTGGAATTTCAGTGGCTTGAGGTTAGCATTATGTATATTTAAAATTAGTCTCATTATAAAAGAATGCTAGCGTTTTTGTTGCCTTTGAGTAGTATTATTATACTATACTACTCAACCGCAACAAAAGCATTCTTTTATAATGAGACTACAGTGGCCCGCCGGCGCCTGACTAAGTGGAACCATAGATACTGTTTGTAGTATCTATGGTGGAACCTCTGTTAACGGACAGTCCCTGTAACGGACACCTACCTTATAACGGACAGTACCTGGTGTACCAATTGAATTTTCCATGCATGCAATACAAATAAAACCTCCGTACAGCGGACCCTCTCTTTTCCTGACAGCGGACATCCAAATGTGCACCAGTACTGACAAGAACTTGCAGGACAGTAGGTGTGGCTAATAATCACGTTGCTTAGCAACTGTTACTAGGGTGCCATTTGATTGGCAAAAAACATTGTGCTATGTGTACTCGTCTGTGCTGCTTTAGGAAAACCATTTAAGTACTTCTAATAGAGTAGGCGGGGCTATTATGAGACACATAACCATAGATATTAGAGTAAATGAAAGGGATTGGCAACGGGGCGTAGCAACAGGAAATGCGGGTTGGGTTACCACGTGACAACCATCAGTGTTTTGATTGATTTCCCATCTCTTCCATTGGTGAAGTTGCTCTGGCAGGATTTCGAA